TATCTTTATATCATCAATTATATTATAACTCACATCTGTTTCACGCTTTCTGGGAGATGAAACCCTCCTGTAATGCGGTTGTCTTCCAAATTTCTGAGATGAAAAAATATTAACAAAACATGCTTATTGCAAATGCAACAGTCTGCGAGAGCTTCAGATTTGCAAAGTAACTGAATGACAATCTGCAAAAAGCGACTCGTTTCGGTGATGTTTTCTCAGCTCAGCAGAAAGCTAAATTACTCTCTCTCGCAAAATAATTTTGCTTAAGACAAATAGCGATGTTTCTTGCTGATAAAAAACAAACATATGCAGCACATATAATGTCATTTTATATCGAGCCATTTTCTTGACTGTTGGTAATAGAGGTCAAGGTTATTTGGGTGGAGCAGGAATGGCAGATCACTTAGGAACCTCCAATCAGATGAAAGTGGGCGGGCGCACTGATATTACTTAGATTGCGTGCACTGTTAATTTCGGCCTCCTCGCCATTCAACGGCAACGCCAGGCATAAAAGAACTTTCAGGTTTTCCTCCACCTCCCCTGCTCCAGCCAAATACCTTGTGAGTTGATTGTCTATGTGGCGGTTTTTTCGTGCCCCACCCTTGCTGAAGATATCATCAAATGTTTGTTATTTTAAGATAGGATATTTGAGAAAAATAAACGTCACGCTGGTGGCCTTATTTACGCCAGAAAGTTGTTTGCTCACGGTGTTTGCTAAACTTATTAAACGTGCTTCAGCAAACGAGCGCGACAAGAGCAGTCCCCAAACCCTTCCGAGGAGTAAAATGGAACGAGATAAAAATAAATTGACATCATATTCGATCACGTGCACCAAAATCACTCTTGTGTGGCCTGCTTTGTGGTTGGCAAAAGGCAAAAGCGCCTGCAAGCGGGTGAAATCCTTTCCTTGCGGTGGAATTTTCAACACGTTTTAGATTCCTAATTTTTTTGCAATTTTTACCTAATCGAAAAATAATCGATAAGATTAAAAACAAGGTCTCAAAATTAGTGATGTGGCCAAGTTTCAGAATGAAACCTCGTATAGAGGAAAATTGAAGAACACTCGTATTCCATATAGTTCTCTTGTTATCCTCTCGTTAATACGTTTTGCTGACTACGGTACCGCGTTACAAAGGTCGCAATTACAAAGGTCAGCAATTTTCCTTCGAAACTTTTCATACATTTATAAGGAAAGTGCTCATGCTCATTCCTCATCCTGCCCCGCAGGGCACTTAAGGCTATATATGGAAAGTGGTAGCTTAATATTCAGTCGAACAATATAGAGGGCTTGTACTTTTTGCTCTATATATAAAATCCGCGGAAATGTTGAATCTAATAAAACAGATAAAAACTACAACAAGGTTCTACATTGTAGGAACCATTGTAAAGTTCTTCAGACTCTGCTGCAGTTTTATATTAGAATAAGAAATGGTATGAAAGCTCTTGCAATTTAAGGATTTACTCTACTCGTGCCTAAGGGCTCGAGCAATTTTGAAATATCACTCGTGGTGTAAATTGTTAATTTTACTTGTATCAACGATTACCATTTATTATCATTTCATGTATTGTTCGAGAAAAACGTGTGATATATTAGTGAACTAGCTATCACATTGAAATTTTTGATGAAAAATTTTTGCTTACAATATCTTTAGTGACGTCAAATTCCGGAAGGTATTCGGTGGAATAAACTGAATGAAGTTCCTTGAAAGGTCCCTGGAAGAGAATTGGACTGCAAAACTTAGTCAACTCAAAGATGTGACGATTTAAATTATTACCCTTAGCTCAGATTATAGTTTAGTCAGGTAAGGAGCATAGTCGGTCAAATAATGAATTTGGTATAATTTCTACTTACAGTTTGCTCAGTAACGTAAGATTTCTAAACGAGTCTTCAAAAATGGAATCCAAAGAACATCCCGAAAGATTTCTAAAGGAACAAGCAGACACATTGTCAAGGAAGTGAGAATATATTGAGACACTACAGGATGAAGACTAAGAAAATTAATCCCCATATAGGCCATATTCTCATGTTAATCCTAATTTTTAGATATGCCATCCAGTCCATAATGTTTTCACGCTCGTTGCGTGTAAAGCCACTTGAGCTTCAATGCTTCCCTGAGGAAAAATCTCTATCCTAATGAAGTTTCAGTAAAGATCTCTAAATAGTTTAAACAGTGTAAATAATATTCTAAAACAAAACTTTGTACGTAATGTAATTAATCAATGCTTTGTAAAGTAAGGAATCTAAGCTGTGCAATTGTAAGTATTATAAATAGTTTCTTTTTAACCTTTTGCTTGTAGTTGTTATGTGCTCGAGTTAATTGTATGAAAGCAATGGACAATTCTCCTGTTGGCGGTCTAAATCCTAATAAGGAATTTTATCTATAAGTAGTGTATTGCAAGTGAAGTACGTTCATAGTGTTTGTTTTTTTCTTAGGGCAAGTAGCTTTTTTTCTTTCTTTCTTTTTTTTTGTAATCGATCTGTGTTTAATAAAGTTTCATTAACATCAAACTTACAGCAGCGCGGTATTTGATGGGATCCCACTCGGTACGTGCCTAGTAAAGTTACATTTAACTTTTATCCTCGTCTTGCCAAAAGAAGCACAGAAACAGTTGTCTTCTTGACAAACACTTTCACCCGTCACCGCAAGCCACCGGACCAAGATAATTTGGATCACGCGAATTAAAATCACGACAGAACCCATGGCTATCTGCTGAAAGAAAGAAATGTTCGGTAAATGAAATTTACTTCGAGACTCTTTTCGCCTTTTAGAACTCGCACTATAAGCTAATACATTAAGGCTGCACATTTAGAGCGCGCACCTTCAAATTTCAATGCTATGGGGAAAATAATAAAGAATTATTCTTTGTTGAAACTCGGGTCGACCTTTTTCTAGAGCAGTGCCCTATTGTGCTGACTTAAAGGTCTGCCGTCCTCTAAATCACTAAATCGCTGCTAGTGCCAGCGGATAAACTTTAATAATTAATAAATATCATTGAATTAAACAGTCGTGTGGCGAGGAAGGGACCCGGGTTGGGGTGGGGTGAGGCAAGTACTTTTGTGCACTGTTGAAGGCGGGCGGACCTAGTGAAGCCATATGGTAACGACACGACACCAGAACCACCTTCGTACTGCGCTCTTACGGACGCGGAAGATGGTTTGATGGAGCAAAGCCTGAATGGTGCTTCAGAACTATCACCCCTACCATGACATCCCAGATCACCGTCTCGTGACATCGACAACCGGCCAAACCGGAAGCAGCGAGGAAAATGAGGGACAATTAAAACATGCGCAATGGCGTCATAAATTACCATAAAGTAAACATGACGACGTCCAGGTGATGAGTGAAAACCAAATACTTCGTATCAGTTACAGAGATATCAACTTAAGATTCCGGAATCCGTTGAGGAGCTTTATTTACTTTGACACTTATACGGCTTTTCAGCCACGATTCCCCATAAGGTATGCTCGATAGAGCGAAAATCTCATTTAATGGTTCGTACAAAATTCATGCTTTACCGATTATCATATTTTTGGTTTATCGTTTCCATGGAAATATCGATTACCTAAAAAAAATTATTCAACTAAACTGTAATCTTTCTCCAAAAACTGGGTAATTTCCACATTGGTCAGAGTAAGGCAAACGCCAACTGGAAATGCTAGGTATGGTCCAGAAAAAACTATATCGATCCACCTTAAATGCCGTGTGATTCTTCGCTGTCAGTTTTGTTGGGGACAAAAGTTAGTTTCATGTTTCGTGTAACAGTACTTCACCTCTTTAGTGCAAAGAACGCTAGAGTGACTGCGTTTGTATATATTTTTTTGAAATAACCCCTAGCATATGCGAAGAGATGTTATCTGCTGTTTACAGAATTCAATAGCTTGTTACCGCTGATCAAATATACAATATAAACGTGTTCCTTGTTCCAAACGACTTGCTTATTTCTTCTTACAATGATCTCTACTAATTAAATAACTTGTCAACTCGAGGCGCCGACGCAGCCACTTTTGTCACAGTCTCGAATAGAGTAAAAATTAAGTCGCCGCGTGCTTTTTCGAGTCTCCTTTAGGTTTAAATCTTTTATATTAATGGTTAGTTTCCTAACCGCGAATTAATTTAACCAACCTTCAAGGCATTTCGGTCACAGATGTGGATAACGAACCTTGGTCAAAAAGCTCTATCTCTTTAATATTGCCTGTTGAATTGACTAGTTGGACTTTGTGGTCGTCAGTTCTACTTCTCGGTCTTGGTTTCCAACTTTTTGGTTTCGAGTTTACTAAAGGTTGTCCGTATGGTAAATGACATGGAATAAGCCGAAAAAGTGAAATACAGTGAGACGCCGACACCGTAAAGAAGCACCAAGCGATTTGGAGAATGTGTTCGTCATAACAGAGCCTCGATTACATATACCGAGATTTTACTGTTAGGAACGTTGACGGAAATAAAGACTATCTTTTATATATTCTGAGGAGGAGGGTTACATCTGCATTGCACTTCCCGTCCTTAAAAGACAAAGAAAGTTTTCGTTAAAGTTAATGAAAAGTTCATTGACGCTAAAGAATGATGAACTTCTCAAGAGTTCATTTTAACATACAAAAACCTGAGTGAGTATGAGAAGAAAACAGTGTTCCAAAAAATCGAAGCAGACAAATATAAACAAGTTGGATTTTTGTCTTAAAACGCTAACTTCCTAGCATCTCTCTTTTCTCAGTTGCATCCTTGGGAAGGAAACTCCGTAGTTAACTAACACAGTGGATGTTTACCATTTCTTAAAAAAAGA